GGCGGCCTGCCGCAGGCGCGTGGTCTGCGAGTTGGCGGTCTGCCTCGCACGGGCCCGCCCGCGCGGCCAGGAGCAGGCCGCGCCGGGAGGCGGGCCCCTGCTGGCCATGCCGGCCCTCGACGTGCTGGGCAGAGCCCGCGGACGTGGGCGCGGTGCCGGAGGTCCTGGTGAGCAGCGCCGTTTGCACCCCCGGCGCCGCCGCGGCGGCAGGAGGGCGTCGCGCGGTCCCCCAGGGGCCCCCTTGGGTGGCCAGCGCGCGGAGGGGCCCCTCCTAGGCGACGGCTCCCTGGAGCTAGCGCTTGCGGAGGTTCGTCGAGGAACCAGCGATGTTGCTGGCGGCGACGTGGAGTCCGAGGGCGGCTCGAGGGGAGCAGCGCCGCGGGCGCCCTGGCGCCGCCGCCGCGGTAGCGGGTGAAGTTCAAACGCCGAGGGTGCGCTCGAGGGGAGCGGTGCCGCGGGCGCTCTGGCGCCGCCGTCGCAGCTGGGACAGTCCAGGAGTCCAGGCCCGACGGAGTCGAGCTGGGCCAGTGCGTGCAGGAGCCAGCCGCGGGCCCTCTGGATGGCAGCGATGCGGGTGCCGAGACGCCACCGCTGCCGCAGGCCCGCGTGGCAGTGTCTGGTGAGCGAGCGGACGGATCCGAGCGCATGGAGAGGCTGCTCAGCGCTGTGGGTCGCCTCTGGCACAGCGGAGCATTTCTACCGCTCACCCGAGGCCTCGGCAGCATCGCCCAATGCTTCGTCGGCGAGGTGCGGCGCCTCTTCGAGGAGTGGGTGGCCGCCGAAGACTGGGACCTGCGCGCGACGGAAAGCTGCGGCGGTCCGCCCCCGAATAGCAGCGAGCCCAGCGGATCCGAGGGCGAGGAAGAGGAGCGCCACCTCGACGACGACCATTTCGACCTCTTCGGTTGCGTTGCCGACGACTGGGCGGCGTGTGCTCGAGGGCTCGGCAATTGTCGGAGTTCCTCGGTTACTTCCACGTCAAGTTCATTATCCACGTTGACTGGGCCGCCAGGCGGGCCAGCAGGGGCGGCGCGGCCACGCGAGCCCTCCAGGAGGCCTTGGCTGGTGATGCCGATGTCGTCGTGGACCCAGTGCGGAGTACGGCGGGCAGTTATTGTCGGTGGGCGTCGACACGGAGTGCGAGGGCAACGTGCGCGGCCCCTCGGGCAGCAGCTTCGATGTCGATGACGAGCTCGCCAGGTGCTGTGGCCGCGACGCTTTCGAGGGGGATCGCGACGACGCGGCTCGCTGCTCGGCCCTGTGGCCTCCCGCCCCGCCTGGAGACGAGCTGCCACCATTGGGGCGCGTTTCGGCGCAGACCCGTGAGGCTGGCGAATGCAAAGGCAGATCCGTTCGGGAGTGTCAGCGGTGATTGGCGCGTCCTGCCATTTTTCCGCCTGGTGTCTTTTGTCGGGGGGGCGGGCGCGACGTGGTCTGAGTTTCCAGCCTTTGTTTGGCGTTTGTCGCCGAAGGCCGCGTCGGCCCAGGGGCGGCCGCTGGCGGTGGCGCGCATCGTCGTGGACGACGTCGCGCCCCGGGCGGTCGGCAGGCACCGAGCAGCTCGTGGCGCGGCAACTTGGCAGCGCAAGGCTGGAGGTGGCCAAGCTCTTTGGCGAGGAGCACCTCCCCCTCGGCACGGCGAAGACCGCCTTCCTGGCATCCAGCCCTGGGCTGGCGCAGCGGCTCAGCGACCTTTGGCGCGGCTGCAGCCGGGCGTTCACCGGCGCCCTGCAGGCCGGGGGGCCTGGGCAGAGACGCCAACATCACCGGGCGAGGCGCGCGCGAGCGGCGCGCTCGGGCGGCGGGCGCCCACGGCAGGGCGCGCGGGCTGCGGGGCCTCGAGGCGGCGGGCGCGCGGGCGGACCCGATCCACGAGCTGCGCCCGCGGCTGGCAGTGTCTGGGCCGCGCGGTCGCGAGCGCCGCCGACGGCGATCCACCGCTGGGGGCCCACGGCCGCCCGCGGCGCGGGCGGACCGCCCAGCGGGGCCCCGCGCGGGCCGCGGCTGCGATGCGCTGAGCTTCGGAGGCGCAGGGGCCCCTCGGTCCTCGTGGCGGGCTCGGCGGTCCAGATGCTAGCGGCCCTCCTGCAGTCGGGCGAGCCCCCCGGCCGCGCGTTCGCTAAGGGCCTGGAGGCGGCGGCCGCCCGCCAGGCCGAGACCTGCTCGCCCTGGGCGAATTGCGCCTCGCCCATTGACGTGGCGACGCTGACGGTGCAGAGGGTCGGCTGGCATTTCGAGTCAGAGCGGGCCCTCGTCACCGACCTCGGGGACAGGCTCGACCTGCCATGCTCGGCCCGCGCGGGCTCAGCGCGGAGGCGGGCCGCGGCGCTAGGCGGGCCTCGCACCCCCGCGAGCCGCCGAGAGCCCCTCTTAGAGGGCGCCCTCGCCAACGTCATCGGGCCAGGGGGGGGGGTCAGGCGAGAGGGAGCAGCGCGCCGTGATCGCCTACCCCTCCAACACGCACTGGCCGCAGACGCGCCTCTGCGCCGTCGGCGAGCGCGCGCGCGCGCGCGCGCGAGGCGCGGCGCGCGCGTCGCTGCGCGCGGGGCCCTCCGGCGCCGGCTATTCGAGCGCCCTGCGCTCGAGTGGGTTCGGCGAGACATCGTCTTCAGCCGCCCGCGCCGCTGCGCGGCCCAGGCCCGCGCCCGCGGAGAGGCGGCGGGCGAGGCCTTCGCGCGCAGCTAGCTGCCGGCGCCGCCGCCGCCGCAAGGCCAGCGCGCCGACGTCATGCCGGCGTGGTGGGCGGGGCGGCGGCCAGACGACGACAAGTTGAATGGGGTGCTCTACCTCGACGGCTCGGGGCTGGAGCCGGCCCATGGCTCGCTGCGGCGAGTTGGCTGGGCCATCGCGCAGTGCGACGACGGCGGGAACTTAAGGGCGTCAACGGGGCGGCGCGCCGTGACTTCTGCCCCCGGCAGACGGCCAGGGACGGCGAGGATTTCGCCGTCTGGATGCTTGCCAACTACGCGGGCCCGGCCGTGCAGGAGCTGCGCGTCGACCGCAGCTCCACGGCGTCGGCCCCGCGGCGCGGGCGGGCCTGCGCCGCGGCGCCCAGCGGGCCCGACGCCCGCCTGTGGGCCGGGGCCCGCGCGGCCTTCGAGCCAGGAGCTTTCGCGGCGCGCATGGTGCCCGCGCATTGCTCCAGGCAGGCTGTCCTGGACGGTAAGCTGGCGGAGGCCCAGAGGCGGGGCGACGAGCGCGCCGGCCGCCTCGCCCAGGCGGGCGCCCGCCTGCACGCGGCGGGCGAGGCCCAGGCCTCGGTCGTCTGGCAGGGCATCGGCGCCGAAGACTGCGAGGGCTTCTTCGACGGCGACGAGCGGCGCCGAGCGCGCTTCGAGGAGCCGCCCGCTGGCGCCGAGCAGCCCGCCGAGCAGGGCTCCAAGCGGAGGCGCCTCGACGGCGCCCGCTCCGCGGCCGAGGCCAGCGGCGGCCCGGCGCTGGGGCCCCTTGGTCTGCGGCTGCCTAGGCCACGCGCTGAGCTGCGCCAGCCGCGGGCGCGGCGACGACGAGCGGGAGGTGCCGGCCTGCGCGCGCCGCGGGGCCCGCGCGCGGCGGGGCGGCGGCGGCGGGGGCACGCCGAGGCTCGAAGAGCCCTGCCCAGGCAAGGGGCCCGACAAGAGTGGCCAGAGCCAGCCGCGCCTCTGGGGGGGCGTTCAGCTCCCAGGAGGAGCCCCGCGCCTGCGTGGCAAGAGGGTGCCAGGAGCCGAGGCGCCGCCGCTGCGGCAGCAGGGGCTTGTCCCCGAGGACGCGCAGGAGCGCTACCTCGCCTGGCTCGGCGCCCAGGGCGAGGGCGAGGCGGCAGCGGCTCCAGCAAGCGCCGAGGCGAGCGCTGCGGCGAACTCGGGCACCCCGAGCGGGCCGGAAGCTGCCGCGCCAAACCAGGGGCAGCAGGCCCCTCGTCACCGGGTTTGCCGGCGCCCCAGGAGGCGCCGCAGGCCCAGGTCCTCGTCGCGGCCCCTGCGGCCCCCGCCCAGGGAACGCCAGCTTCTTCGCGGCGCGCGGCCTCGACGATGCCCAGATGGCGGAGTGGGCGGAGGCAGCGGCCAGCGGGCAGGAGCGCCGCCGAGTCCGCCGCCGCCTGCAGATCCGCGGAGCGCGGCATGAGGACAGAGACTGACAGGGTGATCCTCTACATGGTTTTGGCCTGGCCGAGCTATCGCGCCTTGCATGCTTCTGGCCTCGTATATTTCATGTGTTTGCGAGGCCCAGGTGGGCGGGCGGCTGCCATTGGGGGGCCTTTCGGCATGCCGGGCCCCTGGACCCCCTCGAGGCCCCTTCCGCGGGTTTGGAAGAGATTACTCCCCCCCCCTTTGTTCTCCTCGCCGTTCGGGCCCCTGGCTTCAGCCTCAGCTTCAGGGTAGACCAGCGCAGCAGACCAGGTTGGCAGAGCATCATGCCAGATTAGGACGGCAGACCAGCAAGGCAGACCAGCTCGGCAGACCCCAGTTCCGTAGCCATTTTGGCTCAAGCCTGGCTCGGGCGCGCGCGCGCGGGCGCTTGGGCACGATGGCGCGGGATGTCGCCCCGCGCGGCGACAGTCGGCCTGTTGCGAGCGGCTCTCCTGGCCGGCCCTCTTCGGCCAAGCGTCGGGAGGCGCGCGGGGCGGCGGCTGCGGCAGCTGAGGTAGCCGTGCACCGCCTGTCGCTCGAGGCGCGGGCCTGCCGCAGGCTCTACGAGGACCTCGCGGCGGCCCTCGGGGCTATGGGCGCGGACGGCGCGCTGGGCAGGCGCTTGGCAGCTGCCGCCCCAGCCTTGGCCGCCCTCACCGTGGGGAGGCGCCGACTGCGGTCGAGCGCCTGGGGCGGAACGTGGCCCTCCATGCGGAAGCCGAGCGCGTCGACCTGCTGGACGCTGGGGCTGCGCAGCTCCGCGTGGCGCAGAACGGCCTGAGGCTCGGCGCAAAGTCCGCGGCTCCCGAGGCGGGCGTCATCGGTGGTGCCTTCGGGGATCAGCTGGGCGATGAGTCTGAGGATAAGGAATGTGAGCGTGAGGAGGTCGCGATGATCTGGCGCGCCCTTCTGGCGGGCGCGGAGGCGGCGGGCCCGCTCCCCGACCTGCCCGCTGGTGCGCTGCGTGCTGCCGATCTGGAGAAGGCCCTCTCGCGACCGCGGTTGGCGCCAGGCGCGTGGGCCAAGCCGCATGCCGAGACTGTGTCCTTCGTTTCGGGCCTTGCTGCGGGCTGGCGCCCGGCCGAGCGCGAGCCTCAGCAGCCGCCAGGGATGCGCCGCGCATGCGGTGCCGTGGCCTTCTCGGCCCCGCCGCTGGCCTCCGTGGCGCCCCAGGCGGCGTGGCAGGCGGGGGGCGCCCTGGCGCCGCCGCCGCGCCCGGCGCTGCTGGGGTACAAGTCAGGTGCAGGTGCGTCTGGCGTGGGCTCCGACGTCGACGACGCGATCCTGGACGGTGAGTCCGACGCGGACACCTCGTGCTCGGTCGGGGAGCAGCCAGACGCCGAACACGGGGGAAGTGTTGCAGCCGCCGCCGCCGCGCACTTCGCCGCCTTCCCGCGGGCCCACTTCAGCGGGGGCAGCGGCGGCAGGGCTCGCTGCGAGGTCGCGGCAGGGGCTTGGTGGCGAGCGAGGGCCGTCGTCGCCCGTGCTTGGCTCACCGCTGGTGCTGCGACGGCGCAGGGGCGCGGTGCCGCGGGTTCCGCCACCCCGCCGCCGCCGCTGCTCGACGCGACCGCGCCCCCCGGAGGGCAGGTCGCGCGGGCCGAGTGCCCGCTGCCAGGGTGCGCTGCTGGCGCCGAGGCGCCGCCGCTGCTGCGGAGAGTCCGCTTCGCAGAAGCCCCGCGCGCATTCGAGATTGGGAGCTGCTTGGGCCTGGGTGGCATCCTTCGGCGGGCGAGCGCTCCAGGGTGTCTGGGCCCCGCCTGGGCGCGCCGCGCAAAAGCCGTAGACCTGATGCGCATGATCGAGGGCGACTCCTGTGGCCTCAGGATTCCTCCAACACGGAGGCCGCAGCGACATAGAGCGAGATTCGCGGACGAGTCTCGTTTGGTCGAGGCCCTTCCGCCAGGGATGTCCGTTGAGCGCTCCAGAGAGATCGATCGCCTTATGCGATTGTGCGGAGGACGGTAGCTTCGTGATATGACCGTATTGGTCTTTCACCTCGCCTGGGCATTGTTTGACAGCCCGCGATTGACTTACTGGTGTACGTTGTTCGCTCGCTTGCCTCGGTGCACAGTTTCCACGTCTATATTGCGAGGGCTGGTGAGTGAAGGCTTCTTCCTTCTTGCTTTTGATATTGGGAGTGATGCATTTGACGGCGCCAGCGTGGTTGGTGCTCCTGGTGAGACGTCTTGCCCATGCGTGTTCGGAATGCCTTCTTTGTGATGGTTCGCCTTGCACGTCTGTTTTCCTCCACCTCTGTTTTGTTTTTTGGCCTCCTGGGGCTCGCGCGCTCTGCGCTCGCCCTGCGCGGGGACGGCACTTGCAGGCCCTCTGGGACAGGCCCAGAGGGGGCCTCGGGCTTCGGCGCCTCAGCGGCGCCCCTTCCAGCCTTTATTATAAGCCCCGCAGAAGAAGAACCATACCCCAGTTAGGCAGACAAGCGCGGCAGACCAGCAACGCAGACCAGCGCGCTTCAGACCAGCGCAGTCGATTAGTAGTGTGGTAGACCAGCAGGGCAAACCAGCATGGCAGACCAGCACGGTACACCAGCACGATGGACCAGCATCACAGACCAGCGTATCATAACTCTTGCGCAGACCAGCACGGCAGACCAGCATGGTATATCCACACGGCACACCAGCACGGAACATCAGCACGGCGCGCAGTTCGATTGACCAGCATGGCGGAGTGTTCTCGACCAGACGGTCCATCAAGCTTCGTAGGTCAACGACGCTTCCCGTTCTTGTCTGGTCAGGTTCCCAAATATGACCGTTTCGCTCGAAACATCCTCAAACTTATCGATTCGGGAGAGGACTCCGAACCAGCATTACCTTGGAATCGCCCCCAGAGAATTTCAAAACGAACCAAGAGATCCCCCAAGCGCCCCCAATGGGGACCCCAATAGCGCCCTGAGAGGCCCCCAGGAGGCACCCACAAGACCAGCAAGGCAGACCAGCACTGCCGACCAGCACGAGTCAGACCAGCATGATTCAGACCAGCACGGCAGACACGCACAGATACCAGCACGGCAGACCAGCACGACACACAAACATGCTAGACCAGCACGGCAAACCGACAGACCAGCACGTCAGATCAGCTTGGCTGACCAGCGCGGCACACCAGCACGGCAAACCAACACGGCTGACCAGCATGGCGGATCAGTATGGCAGACCAACACCGCAGACCAGTTGTGCAGGCCAGCGCAGCAGATTAGGACGGCACACCAGCACGACACACCAACACGGCACGTAGTTTCGTTGAACAGCACGGCGGGCCAGCATATCACACCAGCCGTTGTTTTTTTTCAGAATTCTCGACGAGACGTTACCGATCAGGCGTCGTATACACAACGGCGCCTCCCGTTCTTTTCTGGTCAGGTTCCAGGGGAATTGCCGCTTCGCTCGGGCCATCCTCAAACATATCGGCTCCAGAGAGGATTCCGAACCAGTATTATCTCGGAGTCGCTCCCGGAGGGCTTCCAAACGACCCAGGATAGCTCCCGAAGGCCCCCCATGGGGTCCCCAACAGCGCCCAGAGGGGCGGCCCCCAAGAGGCACCCCGAGGACCCCAGGGGCGTCCGAGGAGGCCCCAGGATTGCCCAAGAGGACCCGACGGCCCAAGACAGCCCCAGGAGACCCCCAGGCGGCCCAAGGCAGCCCAAGAGGGCGCCAAGACGGCCTGAGAGAGCCCCCCACAGAACCCCAAGACACGCCCAGGCAGCCCAAGAAGATCCCAGTAGCCCCCAAGAGGACCCCGACAAACCCTCAAGAGACCCTCAGGATGCCCCCACGATAGCCCCAGACGGTATCAGCAGCCCCCAGGGTAGCCTCAAAATATACCTTTGTTTCTGTCCTTTTCCTCAGGCTCCTTACCGTCCTCCTTCGTCGTCGTCGTGGTCTTTCTCCTCCTCTTCCTCCTCCTCCTCTTCCTCCTCCTCTTACTACCCCTTTTATTCCTCCTCCTCCTTCTCCTCCACCCCCTTCTCCTCCTCATCCTCCTCCTACTTTTCGTCCTCCTGCTCCTCCTCCTCCACCTCCGCTTCGTTCCTCCTCGTACTCGTCCTCCTCCATCTCTTCCTCCTCGTCCTCGCGCTTGTCTCCCAACTCGTTGTCCTGCTCTCCTCGCTGCCCTCCCCGTCGTCCACGCTGTCAGCCTCGTCATCAGCCGCCCTGTCGTCGCCATCGTCCTCTTCACCCGCCTACGAGCCCAATGGACAGAATCGGCGCTTCCCGTTCTTGTCTGGTCAGGTTATAGTAAGCCTCAACGTGTCAATAGGCATGTTGGCGGATTCGTGATGGTGATGTCAATGTCGTCCGCCCTGCTATTCGGCGCTCACAGTTGGAAAGGAAGCAGGCACCGGCAGAATTCATTTGATAGTTTTCAGCAGGAGCGTCCCTCGGATGAAGTGATGGGCATGCCCCCATATATGGCTGCCACCCTACCGCATGCGGCAGCCCTGCCGCGGGATGGCAATTTTGAACGCAGGGGCCCGTCCAGTCTAACCTTCATCCCCAGGCATCGGCCCTGCAGCGGCCTCTGGCCTCTTTTGAAGGCACGTGGGCGTGCTGTCTGCCGTCGCACGCCCGCCCGCTCCGAATTCACGACGGCCATCTGTACCGAGCCGCAGCGCCGTGATGATGCCCCCCCGCGGCCCGGCCGGTGCCCGCCCGAGCGCGCCCGCGCCCGAAGCGCAGCACTCAGGTGCAATGTTGCTTATTTCTTGTTTCGACCGTTTCGGACTCGTTCCACGAGGTGGGCGAACTTACAAATGAGGGCTCTGTCGCAATGTTCAGGTTACCTTTCTGGCCATACAGTCGTGCAGGGCCCATCCAGGCACCCGAGTAGACCCCGGGAGGGTCCATTGCGTATTGCCACCGCTGGATTCGCCTCGAAATCCTGGTCAGAACGCACCCCGGGAGAGGTCCAGGGAGTAGCGGTATCGGTACCTTTTTTTGCCTCCCCCAAATCTCAAATTGCGCCTCTCGGCGCACAACAGCGCAGGGCCCATCCAGGCCCAGGCATCAGAGCAGACCCCGGGAGGGTCGATTGCGCAGGGCAGGGGTAATCAGAGGATGTGTCTTCGGATCCGTGATGGTCCAAGTGATTTGTGCGAGAACGATTTTGTGCCGCGCGACTGCCTAGCGGAACACCCTCCAGAGCATCGGCGATGCCCGCGGCGCGCGCCATGCAGGCGGGGCTGCTCTTGGCGATCCTGGGGTCTGCGCGTGCGACGTGCTTGAAGCCTGGCTACGACATGGGTGACAGCGCCAACAGCTGCGGCTACGCGACCGAGGTGAAGGTCTTCGCCGGGCCGGGCTACGACTTCTCCGCTCACTCCTGGATCGCAAGCAAGGGCATCTCGACCGAGGCCGTCGGAGCCGCGGACGAGCTCGACTCCGCCACTGACTGCCAGGCCCTGTGTCTCGACGCAGGGGCCGACTATTTCGCATACGATCCCGCCGCGCTGTGCGTCTGCAAGGCGGAGTATACAGACGCTTCTTGCTACCCACTCTACGCCCCCTACGAAGCAAGCAGCGCCATGGTCGCAGGCCCGACTTCATGCGGGACATGCTTCCGAGTGGACCATGACATGGGCGCCGACTTCAACGGCTGCGGCTACGCGCCCGAGGTGAAGATCTTCGGCGGGCCTGGCTACAACTTCTCCGCTCACTCCTGGATCGCAAGCAAGGGCATCACGACCGAGGCCGTCGGAGCCGCGGACGAGCTCGACTCCGCCACGGACTGCCAGGAGCTTTGCTTTGGCGCGGGAGCCGCCTACTTCGCCTACGAGCCTGGCCAGCTCTGCGTCTGCAAAGACCCGTATGAGACCTCGAATTGCACTTTGTTCGGGGAGCGGGCGAACATTACTGCCGGTCCGACAGTGTGCCAAGATTGCTTCAGAGGCAGCGACATGGGCGCCGACTTCAACGATTGCGGCTTCGCGCCCGAGGTGAAGATCTTCGCCGCGTCTGGCTACAACTTCTCCGCTCACTCCTGGATCGCGAGCAAGGGCATCTCGACCGAGGCCGTCGGGCATCTCGACTCCGCCAGCGACTGCCAGGCCCTGTGCCTCGGCGCCGGGGCCGACTACTTCGCCTACGAGCCTGGCCAGCTCTGCGTCTGCAAGGATATTTCCCAACCATCCTGTGGCGTCGGGTCTTCGTTTTGAAGAGACAGTGCCCCAAGTCTTTTTCTTTCCCCTCCTCCCACGCCTGCATCTGCTCTCCGTACGTCCATGTCGGTACACCCCTAACACGTTTCGCGGCCCCATGGGGAGCTCCGCCGACGTCTCCAGCTGGAGTGTCCACGTGCGTCTCCTCGCCCCATGTCGGCAAAACCTTCACACGCTTCGTGGCCCCATAGGGAGCTTCAGCGACGTGCCCAGCGGGAGGGTTCACATGCGTCTCCCCACCCCTTGTCGGCACACCCCTCACACGTTTCGTGGCTTCATAGGGTGCTCCGCCGAAGTCCCGAGTGGGAGGGTCCACATGCATCTCCCCGCCCCATTCCGACACACCCCTCACACGTTTCGTGACCCCAGAAGGGGCTCCAGCGACGGACCCAGTGGGAGGGTCCACATGCATCTCCCCGCCAAACTTCGGCACGGCCCTCACCGTTTCCTGGCCCCATAGAGAGCTCCAACGAAGGACCCAGTGGGAAGGTCCACATGCTCTTCCCCCAACCAGTGAAGCATCTCGTGGCGCCATAGGGAGCTCCACCAGAGTCCCCAGTGGGAGACGACGACGACAGGAGAAGCGAGAGACGACGAGGGGCGGGAGAGAGAAAAGTGCGCTCGCAGCGCCCTCATCTGACACAATGGCCAGGCTGGCCATCCGGCGAAGCCGTGCTTCGGGACGGACCTCGGAGGGGACGATGACGACGACAGGAGACGACAGGGTCAAAGAGAAGGGAAGAGAGCGTGCGTTCAAAGCATCTGACATCCCACGAGAGGCATGGCCCCCGGGGGAGGGGGAAACCGCGGCGAGGAGATGACAACGACTACAGGAGAAGAGAGGTACGAAGAGGAAGGGAGAGAACCATGTCCATATAACCACAGCATGCGCGCTGTACGGGTATGGCCAGAGCCGAACTCAGAAGCATCGCGGGTCAAGAGGTCGGCAGACACCGAGAACGCCGCTCGAGTCGACCTTCGATAGGTTAAGTCGTGCAACGTAGCCGGACCTGAACAAATCGACAAGGCGAATGCCTTGGAAGCCAACTTGAACATTATCTTGTGACGTACCCGACCCATTTGCATCAAGTGACCTGAAGAATTGGCCCAGGCTTGCCAGGACAATTTCAGTGCAGGCGCCGTTATATGTTGTGCAAGCTTCACAATTCACAGGACAACACCAGAAAGACGAGAAGCCAGGGCCCAGGCGTGAGGAGAACATCGGGGTGGGAACGAAGGGCAGAAAAAGGACGCGCGGGAGGCCGACCCGTCAGCGCGGCAGCAGCAGAGGGAAGTGGCAGGGGGCAGAGGACGACGGCGAAAGCGACGGGAGGAGACCGAAGAGTGTTGCTTGACGGGAGCGACGACGACGAAAGCGACGGGAGGAGACCGAGACCGACGTCGACGAAAGCGGCAGAGGACGACGACGAAAGCGACGGGAGGAGGACGACGACGAAAGCGACGGGAGGAGGACGACGACGAAAGAGTATTTGACTAACTTATCAAAGCTCCTTATACTTAGCGCAAGATGCGAGCGAGGCCTAGCTCGCCCGCCAGCTTCCCTGCGTCCTTCCTGCACTCTCCGTGCGGGTGCTAAACGCTAGAAGGCGTGCCGCCATGTCTGCGGGCGGCCCACGACAGCGCCCCGCCGAACCCCCCAGCAGCCTTCGAACGTGGCGACAATTTCGCAGATCGCAACTCCCCACGGATGGCGAGGTCTGATCAGAGTTTGGGTGGTGCTTCGCTTTGCTGAACCCCCCAGCAGGCCTCGAACGTGGCGAAAGTTTCGCAGACCGCAGCACCCCAGGGATGGCGAGGTCTGATCTGAGTCTGGGTGGTGCCTCACTCCGTTGAACTCCCCCAGCAGCCCGCGAACGCGGGGACAATTTTGCAGATCGCCGCCCCCCAGGGCTGGCGCGGTCTAAGCTGAGTCTGGGTGGTGCCTCACTCCGATGAAACCCTCAGCAGGCGTCGAAATCGGCGGCCGTTTTGCATATCGCAGCACCCCAGGGATGGCGAGGTTTAGTTTGAGTTTCGGTGGTGCCTCACCCCGTTGAGCCCCCCCCAGCAGCCCGCGAAAGCGTGGACAGTTTCACAGATCGCCGCCTCCCAGGGACGGCGAGGTCTCATCTGAGTTCGGGTGGTGTTTTACTCCGCTGGCCCCCCCAGCCAGCCTCGAAAGTTGCGAGAATTCTTCACGCTTCGCGTGTCCCCACCAGTTGGGTGTATTCAGACTTCCCCACCAGCTGCCCTCAGCTGCAGCCTCCCGGCAGCCGCTTCTGAGTGCTGGCCCGGCCGTCTTGCGCTTGTCGCGGTAGCTTAATTAGGCTGGCCCGTGCCCCGGACTACCCTTTTGGCGATTGTTTCACGCGTCCGCCCGCGACAAAAAAAGTGTCCCCACCAACCCATTTCAGAAGCCTTGCCCACGAGAGCTGACGGGAAAAGGAACGAAGGGACACATCCAGGGAAACAAAGCGAGCAACCAGGATGAACCGAGAGTTCTCTGGGAGCAAGGGGGTGGCCTTGGAATTTCTCTTCGGGCCATCCCTGGGGGCCGCGTGGGGCGAGGGGAAGAGGAGGGGGAAGAGGAGGAGGAAAAGGAGGAGGAGGAGGAAGAGGAGGAGGAGACCTCTTGGGCGCCTCTTGGGGCACTCTTGGGGCCTCCTGGGAGCTTCCTGGGGGCGTTTGGGGGACCTTTGGGGGTTTCTTGGGGGCCTGTTTGGCCGTCTTAGGGCGTTCCTGGCTTGTCTGATGCCGTCGGAAGCCGTCTTGGGGGCCAGTCTGGGTCGTCTTGGAGCCCTCTTGGACATTTCAGGGGTTCTTAGAGGCCATCTTGGGCGTCTTGGAGGCCTCGTGGGCTGTTTTGGGGCCCTCTTGGGGCCGTTTTGGGGGCCTTTTGGGCCGTCATGGGGCAATTTTGGAGGCCTCTTGGGCGATTTAGGGGGCCTCTTGCGCCGTCTTGAGCTGGTCGAGAAGAAGCAAATGCCAAAATCTGTCAAACACCTTAGGGCAATCAATGCTGCTGGCCTATTCGTGCCCTCCTGGAAGACCTCCTGGACGCCTTTTGGGCCGTCTTGGAGGCCTCTTGGGGGCCTCTTGGGCCGTCTTGCGCCATCTTGAGGCCATCTTAGACCGTCTTGGGTGCATCTTGGGCCGTCTTGGAGGCTATATGGGGCCATCCTAGCCGTCTTGGAGGCCGCTTTGGCCGTCTTAGAGGCAACCTGGCGTCATGGGGCCATCTTGGAGACCTCGTGGGCGATCCTGGTAGCAATTTGGGCCGTCTTGAGCCATGCCGAAAAGAAGCAAATGCCACAATCTTTCAACAACCGAGGGAAAATCAATGATGTTGGCCTCTTCGGGCCCTCCTGGAGGACCTCTTGGAAGCCTCTTGGGCCGTCTTGGAGGCCTCTTGGGGGCTTCTTGGGCCGTCTTAGGCCATCAGGAGGCCATCTCAGGCCGTCTTGGGTGCATCTTGGGCCGTCTTGGAGGCATCTTGGCGCCACCTTAGCCGTCTTGGAGGCTTCTGGGGCCGTCTTGGGGCCCTCTTGGGGCCCTCTTGGGACTCTCTTGGGGCCCTCTTGGGGGCCCTGGAAGGCCTCTTGCGGCCATCTTGAAGGCCATCGATCAAAGGAGGAGCGGGGATAACGTTCAGCCCCCCCCCCAAAGAGGCCAACATGGAGCCAAAAACATAGCAAAACCAATGTTTTTGGCGCCCAGAGGGCTGGTGGGATAACGTTCAGCCGCCGCCCATTAGTAAAACCAATGATTTTGGCGCCCAAAGGGCTGGTGGGGTAACGTTTGCCCCCCCCCTCCCAAAGAGGCCCAAAAAGGGCCAACACCTCAGTAAACTAATGATTTTGGCGCCCAAAGGGCTGGTGGGGTAACGTCCGGCCCCCCACCCAAAGAGGCCCAAATGGGGCCAAAGCCGTAGTAAAACTAATGATGTTGGCTTCCTCGCCGAGGCCGTTTTGGACGCCCTGACACCTCGCGGGGGGGGCCCGAAAAAGTCCAGGGGAGGGCAAGGGGAGGGGTCACGACTCCCTCCCCGCCCGCAAGCCGTCTCGCTCAATCCCACCCGCCCTCCCAACACATACGTAGCACCCGAGCCTGGCCCGAGCCTCAGCATATTCAGCAGTCGTCTTTGGATGGGCAGCTACTGGGGGCGCATCCGCCGCCGCCGCCGCCGCCTCCGCCGCCGCCCCCGTCGCCCGCCGCCGCCGCCCCCGCTGCCGAATCGCCGCCGCCGCAGCCGCTGCCGCCGCAGCCGCTGCCGCCACCGCTGCCGCCGCCGCCGCCACCGCCGCCGCCGCGCCCGTCGCAACCGCTGCCGCCGCCACCGCCGCACTCGCCGCGACCCGCCGCAGCGCCGCCGCGACGCCGTGCACCGCCGCAGCCGCGCTGCCGCCGCCAAGTGTATCTGGATTGTTACCAAACCATCCTGTGGGTGTATGGGTTCCTCGTTGTGAAGAGGACGGTGCCCCGCGTTCTCTCCTCTACTCTCCCTCTCTCTCCCCTCTCCCCTCTCCTCTCCTACTCCCCTACTCTCCTTCCTCTACCTCCTGTACTCCTCCTCTCCTCCCCCTCACACCCTCTCCTTCCTTCTCCTCTTCACCACCCAGTACATCACACGTTTCGTGCGCTCATACGATAGAGCTCCAAGAAGGACCCAAGTGCCACGCGGCCGTCCGCATGCGTCAGCCACACCCATTTCGGCACACCCCTCACACGCTTCGTGGCCCCATAGGGAGCTCCGCCGAAGGCACCAGTGCCCGCGCCCGCATGCGTCAGCCACACCCATTTCGGCACGCCCCTCACGCGCTCCGTGGCCCCATAGGGAGCTCCGCCGAAGGTCCCAGTGGGTGTGCCCGCATGCGTCCCGCACACCCATTTCGGCACACCCCTCACACGTTTCGTGGCCCCATAGGGAGCTCCACCGAAGGCCACATGGCTGCCGT